CTTTCAATAACCTTCAAGAAATACAGGAGAAGTAGGCTAGAAGCCAAGTGCATGTGTTGAAAATGGCTTTGTTAAATGTAGGTGGACATCAGCAGCCCTTGAAAAGGTGCCCCAGAATCACAATGGGTTCCCAAACACAACTCCCTCACAACACATTTTTGTTATGCAGCCTTGGGGTGCCAGCTATGTGTATATGCAGTACCTAGTGTATAAAGGGCTGTGGACTTTTCTGTCCTTTTAACCATTAGGATCGGTCGCAAGGTCCTGACCAGGTGTAAGGCGCAACAACAAGCTGAAAGTAAGCAGCCCTCACAAAAAGGCTTGACATTTCTAAACATCAAGAAAATACAGAGATTTCTCTGTAAACAACCTATCAATCATTTCCATTAAAAATGTTTTGTCATTTTTTTGTGAACACTTGTTTTGAGACTTCTCCAACTGTATGCTTTATTTGACAGTTCCAATCATGTAACACTGCATCTTTCAGCCGAAGATGTGGCAAGGGTGTCTTCCCTGTGTAGTTTTCCCATAGCAGTGTAATCTGTGGAGGAAACTGTAGTGTTTTTTTAATGAGAAGCCGTGGTCTCCTCTTCCTCATAACAGCTCTTGTCTGTCTGTAGCACAGTGCAGCACAGCACAGCATGCTCCACTGAAATGTGGTCTGTCTATGTGGGATTGCCGGGGCCCCTTTGAAGTACTGAGCTGCGGCTGTTCCCTTTGTGTGTAACAACGCAAAAAATCAAACCTAAAACCAAAACACCCATAAGAATACCTGAAAGGGGTACAATATAAAGTGCCATATGTATATGATGCTTTACACATCTCGTCTTTGTTTCATCCCCTCCCCTCTGCCATGATTATGCATGTCTTCTGTGAAGAGCTGCACGGCGTCTGGAGAGCCGCTTGAATGGAAACTGTGAGGTACAGAGAGGTACATTAAAATCCTCTAAAGCTCTCAAACGAACAACCTAGGGACAAAACATGAACTCCATGCGGTTTCCCCCCTTGTAGTGGTGCAGCTCAGACAAGTTCACATTAAGCACTGGCTGCCATCTCAGACAGTGGGTCCAGTGGGATGTGTAGCTATGTGTTTATCAGAGAATGAACTTCCTCTTATAATGTGGCACATCCCCCCCACCCCACCCCTCTCCCTGTCTCTCCCTCTCCCTTCCTCTGTCTCCTCTTAGACTCTAGTTGAAGGTGAAGCACCCAAGTTGAGAGAGCAAGAGGAGCACAGTCACACAGAGCTCTGCTCTTTAGGAGCTCAGGGTTTTGTCCCTGTGTAGATGCTGTGGCACACTTACAGTAGTGAGAATGTAAAATGCTTGAATATATGGTTCATATGATCTTGGCCTACATAGTATCTGTGTTTATATGGTAACGTGGAAATCACCTTGATTATTTTCACCAGGAAAAAGAAATAATTAATGATAAAACTGGTAGGGGCCACTAACATGAAAATATGACTGTTGGCCTCATTCTTTTGATACAATCTAATAAGCTTAATCTTACACACAGTAAATCAACTCATACTGTGTTGTATCCGCTTTAGGAAAATACATGTTTAAATCGTTCCAAGATTTTAACATTAACTGACCTCTTAAATTGCTCCAGCCACATTGTTTCCCTCAAATTTTCCCTTAGGTCTCTTTTAAAACTGATAGACTTCCTCTCCTTCCACTCATCAAGACAATGTCACATTATATCTTTTATATTTTTCACCTGTATTGGTATTTGATTAGCATTTCCTACCACATAATGCCACATAATGGAAATTAGTTAAATAATAAAACATCATAAAATAACAGGTGATGTGAGTGTGTTTTACACTTCTAGAAAACCTAATTTCTAATTCATAGCTCATACACATAATATACACGGCTATAATGCAATGTAAGTCACTGCTTACCTCTACTTTTCTTATTTGATCACCCAATAAGTAAAACACATCAGCTCTGTAGCAACAAACAAAATGTTTTAATCATAGAACAATATAAGATATTAATGTACTGTAAAACAGTGCAGACTTAATACAACTGTTGTCTTGAGAAGACTCAACAGTGCAATTCAATCTAGTATCAATGGCGCTCTCTAGTGGATATTTTGCATTATTGCCACCATGGTTTTAAATTCACCAATACATCCAAAAGTTAAAGGAACAAAAATGTTATTCTGCTACAAACTACACAAGTTCCTTGAGCGTGTTTGTTTTTTTGTTATCAAACAGTATTTCAAGAACCAAGGTTATTGTGATCTACAGTACATCTAAAGTCCAGATTCTTTGACTTATTACTTCCACATATCATAAGTCAGGATGCCCTAATTAAGGTTTGTTGGCCCTTTAATATTGGGTACCTGAGATACCAAGTCTGAGCTGATACTTACATATACTTGAATGCTGTTTAAATATGTATCCGACACATTGAAATAACACATGTAGTCTTCTAAATGTGGCACACAGTTTCAAATGTATAAAGCTAATTATCTTAAATTATTGATATGATCTGAATGAAAGTTTAACTGGGAGAACGTGACTTCTGAAACTGACGTGAAGAGATCTGCTAATCTCTAGCAATCTCTTGTCTTGGGACAACAGAAACACTCAGTCCACCCATGGTCCTACAGTTGCGTTACAGAGGGATGTTTTTTTTATTTACCTCATAAACAATCTTGAGGTGAGCTGCTATTGTTCAAAACCACAGAACTGGTTTTAGAATTATAGTTGATCCATGGGTGCTACACCTTTCCTGCCAGGTACTTAGATGGTAAATAGAAGTACAATGAATAATCAACGTAGTCGACAAAAAACAATGATGAAATTAATTGCCAACAACTTTAATTAGCGATTAGTTTGTGATGTCATCGGGCCATATCGACGCAACCACCTAAAACTCTCACATTTTCACGCTTCACTCGGTCAAAAATGTTGTTAATTACAACATTTGCAAAGCTGACCTTTCTTGGTATGGCAGCACATCAGTTATGCTGGAGCATCTGAAGAGGAGGCACGTAACGTTGGCTCTCTGGATGATGAAGACTAGTCTAGGTAAGCTAGTTAGCTTGCTATCTTAATGTTAAAGAGGTGGTATTATGCTTTTTGGCTTTTTACCCTCTCCTTTATTGAGTTATATACTTTTTTTGTGCATGTAACAGGTTTGCAAAGTGAAAAAGCCCAAAGTCCAGCCCAAAGGGAGTTCCCATCTCCCACAGAAAACACTGCTCTGAACTGCTTGAAAACAGCTCCTTTGTAGTCCAGCCATTTGCCTTTCATCTCTGTGACGTGATCAATGGGCTGTAGTCCTACTAAGGAATGAACCACAAGCCTGTTTTCTCTGTTGCTTGGAACAGCCACTATTCTGCCATTAATGTGAAGGCACCGGGTCGGGATGTAGCCCTGTGCGTGCTCCCAAGCCTCTCTCCAACTACAGCAATAATACCGCAGCTAACGAAATGCAGTCCACTAACAACACAAAAGAACCGGCTCCCAGGAGAACACAGACTCCAACATCATCTCCACATAAGGATTAGGGCTGAACGATCAATTGCAATTGCGATATTATTGCGATATGATAAAACAAGATTTTCTAATCGCAAAGACTGCAATTACACTCTGGTCACATGACACGCGAGAGTAAACAAGTCTGCAGAGGAAGCATCAACTTTGCATGTTACACTGTACCTTGACCTGTTGTTGTACAATGGCCTTAAGCTTGACAGAAGCTGACACTACAGAAACTTTAGCCCTCGCCAACCGCAGGTAACTTGGTAGTGTTGGTGGATGAAATCATCGGGCCATCCGCCGCTTTGGGGAGCAAAAATTTACAACAGCAAGACACGTGTAGTAAGGTAAGCGTATTGTGGCGATCAGCGTCTGCGTCACACACACAGCCATTAGTCAGCTCAGGAAATATCTGTGAAACAGCCTTTCAAACCAAACTCACAAGTCCCAAAGAGGCCAAAGAGGCCAAAGAGGCCAAGTATGTACTGAATTACAGCCTGGTTACAGCCAGTGCGTTGCTTACCAGCATCGGAGGCTGCGGGGGTGGAGAACTCCGGTGTTGTCGGAGAATTACTAAGCTTGTCTATTAAACACAAGAGGCGTCACTTGGTTTTATTTTCGTTGGCCAACTTTTGAATTGAACCTCAAACTGAGTATTTTTTGAGGTTTTTGAGATAGACTCATTAATTGGTGGTTGAACTGTAGGTTTTGTATTGAGCGCTTAATGTATAATAAACTGTGGTGAACTTTGTTTTTCTTGTCATCTGTAGGTAGGCCTACCTGGTTAATATAATATCAAATTATTTAATGCCATGATTTGACTCTCAAATTATCTTTGATTATAATTTGATATTTCTTCTTCATTGCTCATAATAATTCATGCAATTCATGCATCAACTAATTTCATCATAACACAGGCCTGGCATACAAGAAAGAACGGTGTATGTTTAATCTATCTAATATTGTGGTGGTCATACTATACACTGATATGTTTATGCTAGCCTGTAGTAATGCACGGCAAGGGCAGCCAGATAGGTGAGCACTGATCCACCACTGTTTGCGTCCTAACGTTCAACTTAGATTTATTGTGATTTTACCGATACTCCGGTACACAGCTTCTCTACCATCTCAGTCGCTGTAACTTACGTGACCCGCATAATATACAATATTGCAACATAACGCGCAGAATAACACAGTGAAAGAACTAACATTCTGTTATATTATATATTATATATTATAAGTGTGGCAACAATTCCATTTATAATATTCATTCTAGCTCATTAACCGTTTTATTATCATCTAAAACACTTAGCTGCGCACAAATTGCTGAGCCTCCGGTGAAAGACACAATAATTAATCTTACTGAAAAGCAGACAGGCGAGCTAACAACGATATATCACGTCAGCTAAATGCAATAATATTTTTTATCATGTAATGAGCATGGATTAGTTCAACCTGCAGCTGATAAAAATATTACTGTAATGTTGCAGTGGGAGTTTACCTGAGTTAGCAGCATGTTGTTAGAAGCTGTCTCTCTGTCTGTCTATAGCCGCTGTCACACTGCCTTTTTTCCCTGGAGGATTGTGGCCAAATGCCGGCTGGCTGCGCTGTCTGAAAGGTAACGTTGTGGAGCTGAAAAGGGGTTTGATTTGATCTGCATCTGGGCTGAGAATGTTGACGTAACAGAGCCTAAACATGTCTGTGTTAAAAACCACAGCTGCATGCCGGTGTTTCAGCATCTATTGTTGGATCTCTGAATGAAAGCGTTTGTGTTTCGGGTAATGCTCCCCCATGAACTCAAGCAAGCACGCGTATGAGCACAAACCTGGTTGCAATTGTAAAACCGCACCGCTAGAGGCCACTAGAAACTATATATTATCCCATTTTTAAAAATCACATCATTTTTGAGTTGTTGAGTTAGAGGAAACTTTAGAAACTCTGTGAAACGCTATCTACGACAAATTCATAATTATTTGCCACAGAATGGAATAATTAGTATTCCATACTTTGTATAATAATATATACAAATATTGTGTAAGCTACTCTGTCACTGGATAAATGATATGCCTTGTTAACAGCAGATCAGCTGCACAGATGACCGTTGCACACACATTTATGCCTTACTGTATATACATGTTTGGTCCATGAGCGCCTTTCTAGTCGACCGATTGCTTCTTAACACATTCACCCCATTCATACATATACACTGATGGTACAACCTACAGGAGCAATATAAGGTTCAGTATCTTGCCAAATGACACTTCTACATGCAACTGCAAACTGGAGAAGCCTGGGATCTAACCACCGACCTTCTGATTAGTGGGTGACCCGCTCTATCTCCTGAGCCACAGCTGCACCTTAGGGTGGCTAGGGTAAGTCTAATAGGGTAAGTCTAATGCAGCAGGATCGATGCAATATATTTTAAAATGAATTTTAATATAAACTTATCTGAAACAGGATGGAAATACGAACACTCGAATGTTAATTTTGTATGCAGAAGCACATCATTTTACACACTAAAGTTATATAATTGCTTAGTACTATATCGCAGATTTATTAATGTATGTCATGTATGCCCCAGGGGTAAACAAAACAGAATTTAGGCTCATAAGAATCCAAATCTCTCTTTTAGTAAACAAATACTTACCCGTACAGAGAAGCTATCTTAACGGTGAAGCCAAACTACTGCCACACAAGTTGCATATTTGCATATTTTTTTGGCAACCAAAATCTCCATAATTTAACATTAGTCACAACAACTCCTATTGTAGAAGTTGTTTAATCCCTCCTACTAGTGATTACATTTTAATCATTGTGTATAAGCTGATATCACTTTTGCTTTGGCGGTGCATGGTCAGCGCCGAGCATTGCTGAGTGCTGCTGGTTTTTGCAAGTTAAGTTATAAAGTAAACAAAACTAAGCCTGTGCGTTCATAGTCCACTGGTGATTCCAACCACCGCAACAATATTTGCACTTCAACATCAGTCAGGTCAGACCACAAGTGAGCCAGTTTCTCAATTGATCTTTATTTTAAAGGCCCTGCATACACACACACACACACACACGTTATTGTGGCTGATAAGACTGCCGCTTGGGGCGAAAAACGATTAGTTGATTGACTGAAGCAACTATTCTGATAATCACTGAACCATTTACGTTTTTGCTCTTTGATAAGTTAAAATGCATTATATATATATATATATATATATATTATTAAATTATATTAGGTTTCTCATAGTGCTACTGTCACAATAACAACATTATCTGAGGTAACAGTTTAGTCAGCTTTTGTTTGCATAGTTCAATAGCAGCTACAATTTGACTTCTCATAATGTCTTGTAAATGTCCAACTGCCCTCCTGAATGAACTCACTTTTTCACACTTACTGAGGGTGCAATGTTTTCTGATTATTCATTATTTGTCTAAACATAAATTTATTCTTTAATCAAAAAAAATAATCTTTAGACTAACAACTAAAAACAATATTTCCATTTGCGGCATCTATGACCATCATGGGTGAGAACATTAATGCTACTAAAAAAGCAGCAGCATTCTGCAGAGTTATAACATTGGTAACCTCTAGCTTAAGCAAAGACCAAAAGGAAACCCAAGGATGAATACAGAATGATGTTGATGTGGGATGACTTAAACATCAAAGTGGACTCAGATAACAGGCAGCATTTAAAAGTCTTCTCTGCACCTCCTCTACAGTATAAATAGTTCACCTGGTTACATTTATCTCTACATATTCGCTAAATGGCAATGACTGGTCACTCTGCATCCTGCTTGTTACTTCTCGCCCTTCTTAAGGTTAACAAGTTCAAAAGAATTTCATCAAGGTTCACTTACCAAGCTGACAAAAGTATGGGAACAAACATACATGACACTAGGAGGGGGAAGTTGAGATTTTCTTACCAAGTACTTGCTTGGCATAATTCTGATGCCAGATGTTGATGTGATGGACAAATGTTTTGCCAAGATGCCGCAAACTGACAGAGCTTATAGTTGTGTATATGAATATCTGGGATACACACTGGTGTGTCTTTCCGAGGTGGTGTATCAAATGACAATGACACTCATCCCTTCATGGTGACAGGATGAACACATCGCAGTGATCAAAGCACTGGTGACACGCCTTGAGGAGACAGACGTGTACTTTACGTGCTAGGGTGGGGGTGTGGTATCTATAAAAAAAATTCAAACAAAGTTTTTCACCATCAATAAACATGTGTTTGCCTCTGATACAGTCATCTCTCTCTTATTTGTATCTGTGCATTGCTACTGTATTGTGAGAGCTCTACACATAATGCTGTACAATTCAAATGAACTGATTAATCTGTTTAAAATATAAAAATAAATCTTAATTGTCATCCATCCATGTTAAAATAATGATGCAGTATTACTTAAAGAATTCTGATAAAAAATGTAAGTAATCAGTAGAGTAAGGTAGTAACGACAGGCCCCAGTGCAGGCTGTTACGATGGGCCCTTGGGCTACACAGTTACGAAGCACATGCAGACACACACTGCGTTCGTGTCTAGAAGAGAACCCTATATTGGCAAATTTGTGTGCCTTGTTTCCTCGTTTTGCATGGATTAACAACTGCTAAGATTAGATGCAGTAAATACCTAATTTAAAGCTCCTTAAATCGATCTAATTTCATATTAACATATTAAATTAAACAATTCTCTTTGTGTGCGTCTGTCTACCAACACACACGCTGCTGCTGCGGCTGTGTTGCGTGCGCCTGGACGCAGCTGTCTAAAGTGAAATAGCTACCATCATGTGATAAATTTTAGAGTCGGACTGTGGCACTTAGACTTTTGTATTTGCAAAGTAGGCTACAGAAGTCAAAGAGAAAGTTTGGAAGGAGCATGGCCAGTGCTGTCATTGTCAAAATCCTGAAACGTCACTACAAACAGCTGTGCAGGAGGTGTCCACTATGGTGCTGCAATGATGCAGACTTTTACTGGCAATTTCAGTACAATAACCTCCTGAATTACGACAACAGAGAGGCAAGACATTATGGTAAATAATAAAGAAAAGTGGCCTAATCATAAACAGCACCATGTCCTCTCCAAAGAGACCAGCTATGGCACACACACAGTTTAATACCCACAAGCACATCCACACAAACAAGTGCTCAGCAGTGACCTGTCCCCGAAATGATAACAGCCTTTAAAACAGGGGCACGGCAGCCACACCAAATCCACTGAAAAAGCAATGGTAAAGTTACTCACCTATTTGAAAGGCGTATGACGAGCCTGCATTGAGTGAAATCTTGGACAATGTCCTCAGCAATCCAAAACAACCTTATTTGGGAGCTTTGCGACCCTCTCCTACTGTTTTTTTTCTCTCCTGTCTCTTTTTAAAACTACTTTTATGCCTGAATGGCATGACTGCTAGCTTGCACGTGTGCTCTGCTTGTCTGCTTGACAGATGTTTCAGCCGGTTTCTGGAGTCGGGCAGCCATATACATATTACCCAGCAATCATCACTGCATATATGGGCTATGTGACACAAATACCAAGGGAAATAAGACTTAATTCTGTTGAATCTATTTTTTTATATTTCACCGTATAACTTATAGCCTACTGCTTACAGACTTTTGAGGGTAGTTTTACCCACAAAAGTCTGTGGTGTCAGACACCGTGGCAAAGGGGGAAATGCACATTTAAGTGTACATATGCCACTGTATTATTACAGTAGGCTATTGTCTCCCTCAAAATATACAGCTTGAGGTGAGCTAGGAGTCAACTGTTGATTGATGACACTTTATGCATTTTTACCATGTAACTAACAAAGTCCAGCTCCTGATTCGGCGAGAGGGGTCCAACTGCAGACCTCCACTATCAGGCCACCTCCACTGTCCGGCCGGTCAGTTTTTTACGTACCCACAGGACGTAACGTGATGCATTCTGTTGGTGACTGGTTAGCATTATCCAAAACATTGAGTAAAGTCTGAATGCATTGCGCTAACTAATATTGTACATCTAAATCACAAAAATTACAGAATGTTACACGTGTGTAAGTTATGTAGAACGAAAAATAACCTAGGTAACGTTCAGCTACCCCAACGCTGGCTAGCGTTAGCTCCTGAAATAGCAGGATTAGCTTTTTTTCCTTTGGATAACGTAAGCTACTCATAGACTGTATGTAGCTACAGTGTGTTCGTTTTTTGTAAAGCATTTTGCAAGGGCATAGGTTTGCATTTGTCTTAACATGTTGACAATGCTCAGGTTAGTTATTTGTCCAAAAGAAGATAAAATACAAATCTGTATCATTTAGACCGTTCGGTGTAGCTTTTCACACTTAACGTTAAACAGTGTGCAAAGACTTTGCTGGCAGTATGAATTGATCTTAGTTGAATTGAAATTTATGTACTACGACAGTGTTTTCCCTTTCCTGGAGGACCCCCTGTCCTGCATGATTTACTCTCTCCCTGCTTCAACACAGCTGATTGAAGCAGCTTCAGGATTCATAACGAGTTGATAGTTAGAATCAGCTGTTCTGGAGCAGTGAGATGTTTAACATACACGGTTATTTATACAGTTTTCCACATAAAGATACTACTCCTCACCACAGCCACTGTTGGCATATACTAATTTGCATGATTTAGATGTACAAATATTGATAGTGGTAGATATTGATATAACATGCCAAGACCCATGCATTCGGACTTTTTAAAAATGTTTTGGATAATGCAAATCAGTCACTGCTGCCAACTCCTTTTCTAACTGTGTAATCTGTGTGTGTACAGTGAATAAAGTAAAAGTATTATTACAGTGGGCTATTGTCTCCATTCATTTATAAAAAGTGGATATTTACAAAATTATTGATACAGGTATACATGTTGTATTGCATGTGTGTTCATTTTTACGGATTGTAGAGTTTGATAGTCCACATAGTCCAGCAGGGTTCTAGATACGGTCTGAACTCTTAATCATGCATCTGTGGGGTCAGTAATTCATCTACCAACAACCATTATTTTTAATAACAGGTGTACAATATATTAATAAGATAAACACAAACACGTTTTCCAAACGAACTATGCTGCGCAACGCGTGAATGTCATAACGACATGATTAGGGGAGACCGCATATGGTTGTAACACTTTTTGCTTCAGCAGCTATAACTCACAAATCTCTCAAATTTTTATACATAGTACCCACATTTGTTCACTACAAATGGCAAATTGGCCAATTCAGTCCTCTACAAGAATATCACAGACCTTGTGAGTTGATGTCAAATGCAATGTGTTCCCTTGTTACAACCTACCCCAATAGCAGGGTAGGTTGTAATAATCACACAAAAGAATCAAAAATTGATGCCACACTATATGATAATCTTCCAAAACAGGTAGTTATATCAAAGAACAATGTTTCAATGACTCACACGCATGTACAGTATGTGTATGTAAATGTATCTATAGAATAAACTTACTTAAAAGTATACTTAATAAATACTACTAAAATGTTCCTAATGAAAGAACATCTCTATACATCCTTAGGTCTAACTAAAAAGAGGTGTGTGTGTGTGTGTGTGTGTGTGTCTCAATGTGCGTATATTCTTATTCAGAGTCATAGTCAGTGCTTGAAGTGGGCTGGTATTCACCGGTACATTTACCAGCACTTCTATATTTTACTCTTTGGCGTACCGGGACTTTTTCTTGCACACAGGCACTTCTCACAAGCTGCCCATACACTTTTCTACCCTCTCCTCCGGCGGAGACTGAGTATGGAAAAGGTTGAGTGACGATACATACGCCAACATGTGTACAGCATGTGAATGGGGAGTACTGGTCACAGCAGGGTAATCTGGAAAATATTAAAATCAAGAAAGTACCTAGTTTTATGCATCATCGATGGTTGTAACCCCTTTTAAGAACGTGTTACAACCCACCCCACCCCTGTCAGCCAATGTTTAGCTAGCTGTATTACCATAATGGTTTGAAATTAGAAAGGAAAAAATGCATCACATGTTGCCTGAGAAACTATATTTCAATCTAATATAAGTCAAATAATTCTATCTGCAATAGTAT